TCACCCTAAGTCACATGGATAATAGGTGGTAAAGTAAAGAAATGAAACAGCAATGCGAGTCAGATCAATTTAGAATAAGGACGTGCTTTTTTTTATGAGACTCCCTGAGGCAAATGATCTTGCTCCATTGTCTCCACATCTGTTCAATCAAGATGTGAAGCTATTATTTGAATGTACACTAATCTTTTCAGAGAAAAATGCACTGGCCATAACATGCTTCAGAGAAAAAAAAAATTGATCTAACATTTCTTCTCCCCAACTCAGAATTGATAAATACGGGATATAAAAACATCATCAGGCTTTTAGTTTTCCTAAACCTTAAGAAGACGTAAAGCTTGCTTTGCTCCATATAGTGTACCAAATGTCGTATGACATAATAATAGTTTGAACTTTTCATATGATAGAATTTTAGAGCTTAAAGGTTCGTCCAAATTCATTTAAATATTTGAGTAAAAGGTGGCTCCACCATCATTCCTACATGTCTTCTTCTAAGAACTTCTTTTTCTCCAAGCTTTTTACTCAATTTGATAGCCTAGGACTAAGAAAGCTAAGCTGATTGTTTTAAGTGCCACCACTAGTTAGTGATGGAGTGAGAAAGACCACCCGAGCTCTTGTCCACCAGGAAAAAGCATCAGAAGAGGATACGGGTATTGAAGTCAAAGAACTAAGAGGAGCGTTTACACAACTATCTGGATAATTTATCCCATCTAAATTATACCAGCTCTTCAAATACCCACTTTCTCTCGGCTGTGAATATTTTCTGATAGGTAAATTTCCTATGTGAGTCCAACTTTTCATTGGTTTAGATATGAGGTACAGTCAATGCAGGGCATCTGTCTATAAATTGGAGTATAATTCTCTTCTTTTTCCTATTTGAGTATCGAGTGGAGTCAAAAGGAACAAGAAAAGAAAAAGAAAACAATTTCTCTCCTGCTGTGTGGCTCCACAGTCTGACTCCAGAGTCTTTATTTTATAAAAGTGAATATTAGTGCGGCTTATCAGCTGAGCAAACCTAAAACTGAAAATACTCCAATAATAAAAGAAGCATCAGTCAAATAATTTTGACTGTAAGGAGCCAAGTTTATAAAGAACGGAGTGTCCGTTACAGCTCTAGGAACAGACAGACCCTTTGACATACTTCTCTTTTATTACAGATGTCAGCTTTAAGAAATGAAAATAGCTGTGTGAGAAAATTCGAGCTGGCTTTTAATGCCATTTTTATTCAGGTTTGCACATACTAAATCACTACTTAAGGGGAAAGGTCAAATAATAGGATGATTTTATCCTATAATTTTTTGAAAAGAATATCTTTTTATTAGAATTCTTACGGATCCATTGCCAATTTCTTCCAGAAAAAAAAAATTTTTTTTTTAAAAGAAATGTGTTTCATTTTGACCTAATACATAAATTGCCTATTTTATTGTGCCCTGGCATGTTGGCAGTAGTTGTGTAAGTTTCCTTTTCTTTTTCCTTTTCGTCAGCAAATTTATACCTCTGTTCTAGTCATGAGGCCTCTTCTTGTAGCTGAGGGAAGGAAAAAAAAAAGTGCAGATGCCCAAGCACACAAAGTCTAATTGCCAAGGTGCATGGCTGATACGCCACTCACCAGAGAATCTTCCAGACTCTATCTGTGGCAGGATATCAGGGTTCCTACCTCCTACAGTGACTTGAGAAGGAACATGTAAAGTGCTGGTTCCTCCCACCTGCTAAGGCCATAGTGTGTCTCAAAACAGCACACACTATCTGTAACTCATTCATCTAAGCAAGACTGACCTTGGTGCACACAGGATGAGCAAATATTTCTTGAACACTTAGTATTTCTTTACCTCTGATTGTGGTCTCATGAGGTCATTATAATCATCTTCCAAATGAAGGACCTGAAGCTGTTGAACCTGCAATGTGTTCGAGTTTACCCAGCTAGTAGGGGGTGCTGCTGAGGTTCAAAACCAGGTCGGTTTCAATCTACACGCTAACGTGCATCACAATTTCCTCTGGAGATTCTTCATGACTGCAAAAAAACTCTAGACTCTCAATACTGCCTGTTAGAAATATTTGGAAATATGAGCTGCTCTGACAAAATGGAATGGAGAGCAATATAAATTAGGGGAAAACAAAATGTTTCCAGAGAGTGAAGTTTTTAATACCATGTATATTTAATAACTCTTTTAATGCATGGATAAGAATGATTTATTATTAGCACTACATTTACCAGTACATAAATAAACGCTGCTCAGGGGCTTGCAACTATTTACTCATGGAGTTTAAATATGCCTTTTGCATGTGCGTCTTCACTCTTAATTAGCATATTCTTTATTCATAATGCAAAGGTAGATATTAATCCACATCTTGTTGGAATGATCACAAATTCCCTGTTAGGGATGACACACGCACGGATAGTATTGTAGAGCATGCCAAATTTCTCAAAGGGCTTAAATAAGCACATTCAATGTGGGGAGTGGAGGAAATAATGAGGACAACCGGGGTCAAAGTGGGATGGCTCTGCATCAGAGTGGGCTGGACTGGTGTGCCCTGAGTGAGGACGCTCATATAAAGTGCACCACAGCGAGAATTACTGACTCCTGAGTGGAGAGAGAAGCAAGCTGTATTTTCGTATTTGAGCCACCACTCACTAGTTGGTGAAATAAAGGATCTCTCTTTCTGCCTACACTTTGCCGCACCGTGACAGAGATGCCCCTCGCCAACATCAACAGAGAAGAATGCCTCATCAAAGAAAGAAACACATCTCACATTTGTAGGGAAATGGCAACTGAGGCACTCAGAATAAAGGCACAGAAGTAAAGGAAAGAGAAGGAAAAAAAAGTTGCAAATATGCGATTTCAATTTTCGCTTATCTTCTTACATAAATTGGAAAGTTAAGATAGCAACATAATTCATACAGTAATTTGCCTACATTTAAAAACTAATTTTAATTGGTCAGCGATGTTTGCTTTTGAGCAAAAAATTCCTTGAGGACCTAATGCCAACAGGTTATAGAAAAACACCAATTATATAGCTTCAGAAAACACACTTCTTTTGACATAAGAACAATGTTTTAAGACTTTACCCATACGCTTTCCAAATTTGAGCCAATGGTTGTAGTTTTTCCTTAATCCAGCTGTTTCAAAATTATCTAAATTAGAATGTTTTATAAATGAACTTCATAACAGAAATGACCTTAGCCATCAGAATTAAATAATTAACAGAGATGAAGCAATATATAATTTTAATCCATATCCTTTTTATCAAGGCATGCAGATACAATAAAAGTACATAGTTGCCAGGGACTGCTCATCGAACTTCCTAAACATAATTTGATACTAAATATAATTTTAAATAAATGAATATTGTTGTTATAGTATGCAACGATGGATGACCCAAGTGTATTCTCCATTAAAACATAGGTGTCTGGGTTTGTTTTGTTAGAGGTTGACCAGATTACATAAGAATTCATGCATCTTCTCAGCAGTGGTATTATCCTAAGTGGTTTGTACTATACATAAACCAAAACATCATACCCAATCCTTAAACATCTATTTAACTCTAATTACATGCTAAACACAATGCTAGACACTGCAATAACATAAAAAATATCAAGACATAGTTCATATCTTCAAAATACTTATATTTTCAGACTGTTGGAAATTGAGTTTTTACATTCTAAAGGGTTTTTTTTTCTCTTGAGTAGTTGTGTTTCTACTGCTTGCTCTGTACTATTTTTCAAATTAACCATTTACAGCGCTAAGAGAAATCAGAAAATTAATAAATTTATTTAATTAGAAAAATTAAAACTCAAATATGTTCCAAATGGCTGAAGAAGATGCTGCTAAGAATGTGTCTATAAAATAAAACATATAAATGACACAAGAACGAAATCAGTCCCATAATAGACCCCCTCATTTCACAATGCTTAAGACCCCCCCTACTTTACAATGCAGAGTGGCTGCTTTACTTAATCTTTATTAAAATGCTCATGTCTGTGAAGATAATGAAACTGCTTAATGTAGTTTCTTACTTTTTATTTTTTCAAATACAAACTCTACAAAATACAAAAAGTTGTATTTTTTCAAATACAAACTCTGTGGCTCCACAGTCGTCAGCTTTGTGGAAAGAGGAATCCTAACTCCTAGTTTTACAATTTGCTTTAATTCCAGCATTAAGAGTTTAACCTATGTTGGGATTTTTAATGCATATAGGGTTCGAAATTCATGCAAAAATGCTCTCTCAGACTTTTTAAAAGACATATTAAATAAAACATAATTATCATTTATAAATCTTCCAGGGTACTAATTTTCCTTGACAGTACCAATGACTGCTCACCGCTCCGAACTCCCTCTGAATTGGGGGCTGAATGAGTCATACTAGTGAGAGGAAAAATGATTGCATGATATTTAATTTATGGACTTTACGTGTGCTTGATTAGTTTAATCAAAATAAATTTATCAAGGTCACACTCATTATATTTAGAAAAACAAAAAGAATAATTTGAGGGTCAGATTCTCCATCCAGCTCCCAGGAAATAACATACAGTGTTCTTAATTTCCATGCTACTAGCAATTTCCGAGTATGCCGCTTTCAAAGTAGTACTTTTACTATATATATATGCACACACGTACACATGTACGTATAAATGTGTGCATATGTGCATACATGTGCGTGTATATATATTTTTAATTTGTCACTACCTCCGCAATCACACCCATTATTTTACTTTGTCTTTTGTAATCGGTTGAACATATTTTATTTGTTAGTTTTCTCTCTCATGAGCTGTCATTGGTCTCTCTTTTTTTTTTAAGATTTATTTATTTTAGAGAAAGAGAGAGAGAACACGTCAGGGGAGGGCAGAGGGAGAGAGAGGGAGAGAGAGAGAGAATCCCAAGCAGACTCCCCACTGAGCATGGAGCCCGACGTGATGCAGGGCTTGGTCTGAGAGCCCCAAGATCATGACCTGAGCGGAAATCAAGAGTCAGATGCTCAACTGACGGAGCCACCCAGGCACCCCATCATTAGCCTATCTTTAAATCTGGGAAATTTTAAATAATGTGGTTTTTTTTTTCCATATAACAAAAGCAATGGATTATCATTGTATAAATGTTAATTATACACACAAAATAATCAAATAATTAAAAATCATAACATCTTGACTTTTGCTGTACATTTTCATACATTTATCATCTTTCTATGCAAGTATCTCAGATTGACTTAAAGTTTTGTATTCTTTATTTTTTACTTTAATGTTTTGTAGCCTGTATTTCTCACGTTGTTTTCTGTATTGAATCTTATCTAATTTCATTAAAACTTGATTTTAGAACCTGCGTAATACTCACTGCATGGTTTTAACATTTTAACACATTCAAGTAACTTCCTTACTTTTGGTCATTTGGGTATTTGCTGTTTTGGGAAGGCCTCTGTGAGAAGCATCTCCGCTCATGCCTCTGGGCTTGCTTCACTACTGATCTTTTTGGACTTTCCTTCCAGGAACATCACCTCAGGTATGAGTGGGTCACACGGTCTAAAGCCCTGTGACTGAGCTTTCCAGATAAATGTTCCTCTAGAAGGAAAGTACCAATTCACCGTGCAAGTAATCATATAGCAAAATGCCTGAGTCACTGTAACCTTGATGATACATGTTGATTCTAAAAATCTTTGCCAAGATTATATGTTTCAAGTTTTAAAAAAAGACTAGGGTTTTGACTGAGACTGCATCAAGTCTACAAATACTTTTGAAAAACCTGACACATTTAAAATTGAGACTGTCCATCCAAAAACATGCATATTCATTCATTTATTCCAACTTAAACTCTCTGAACAAAGTGTTCTAATGGTCTTCATATTTAGACTACTTGCGATTGTTTTTAAAAAAACTAGATATTTTATACTTTTTGTTGTTGTTGTTGTTACTACTGAAAATTATGTATTAAGCCCCAAGTATTTTCTATTTCAGTTTTGCTGTCAAATAGAGAATTAAGTTTATTTTGATATTTCTAAATCATTTGGAATGGATTACATAATTATAGCATATGTAAAATTGAGATTATTTTCTTCTTTTCCTAAGTATTAGACACACATATTTCCTTGTCTGCTGTATCACTTTTTACTTAAATTTGATTTAATTAAACAAATGTTTTGAATTACTTATAGTAAAATGTTATTTTCACTTGCATATTTTGTAACTCTAAATCTTCAAAGCCTCAGGCCTCTGATTTTATGCTAATCTTTCTCTGATTTTTCTTTTCTGCTTAGCTCTTTAATTAATTTGAGTTCATTTGGATACATATCATAAATTACAATAATGTTTCCTTTTGTTACTTATTAATTAAATAAATCCTTCCTTCTTATATTTTTAGCTCATCAGATATTAAAATATTTTATATAATTTGAGGGATTTCCAGGCTTATTTTCTTTCATCTCTATTCATATTTATGTTCCTTTATTACCCTTTTAAATCATAGTTATTTAATAATATGCTTTAAAATCCTGTAGGTAAAGAGGAAGGAACCAACCATTGCTGAACTCTTTGCCAGGTTTACTCTGATAGATATTTAAAATACATCATGTCTCTTAATGCAGAAAATGGCCCCTTAGGGCATATGTGTTAATATCTGTTTTATAAATTATGGCTCTTGAGGCTCAGAGATATTTTGTACACAGCTCGCTCAACAAACAAGCTGGGGTTTACTCGTTCTAAACCCATTTTATTTTTTTCTTTTTAAAGCTTTTACCTGTTCTTACTTACGTTTTTAGATGTATCTATGATCATTTTATGACTTTAAAAATTCTGAGGGTCTTTTTTGAAAGCTTGAATTTAATAAAGTTAGCAGCCAGTGAGCATAATTGTGGTTTCCAAATACATGCTGTTTATTCAGGCCACATAGTTCAAATTCTTAACAATCCTTTGGAATTTTATTACGCTTTACAGTAAGGATCTAGTTACAACCTTGGGCAAGACAGCTGGTCACTAATATATTTAGTATGGTTATATAGGGGAAAATTTATCATCAATTAATGGCATTGTGACAGAAGTAAAAAAGAAAGTTCTGAAATTATACATGATAAAACATAAGCCAGGAACAAATCCTTCTTTAACCCCTCATCTACACTCACCCAATAAGGAAAATACGCACCACAGCGGAGCCAGGTGGTGTAGACCATTTACTCTCAGCACCTCATTGCTCCTAATAATAATCAGAATAATAAAAAAGTGTATGCAACAATATTAATACAGCAACTAGTTATCATTTCTTGAGGGCTTGATCAATGCCAAGCTCTCTCTGCATATGATTTCATTTAATTCTCAAAACCTGGTGAGGTTTATACCATAGTTCCCATTTAACAAATGAGGAAAGGGAGACATGGCCAGCTGTGAGTGATGGAGGTGACTTGGGAAGGGCCTTCCTCCTTAGCTGCTGGGCCCATGGCCCCTTGTGACTGAAATGAATGCACCTGTGTTAGGCTTTAGGCGACAACAGTGTTCCTTGGGAGAGGGGACGCTTGTCTTTTCCAGGACACGTGTTACTTTGACCAACAGAATTAAGTCTTCCAGCAACTTCTCAAACCTTTGGTTATCTATCCAGAAAGCTGCTCACCTGGCAGCTTTCTGATATCTCAAATCATGCAATCGTTAGAGACGAGCTTATAACACGGGCAATTCTGCTTTATGTCTCCTCAACTACAGAGCTCCCGGCAATCACAAGTGAATCCTAATGTGACCAGTGGTGCATTGAAAAGCCCTTCCAACATAGAGCTGGGCCTTGGTTTTATGGGCTCAGCTAGTTACTGAATTTCAATGAGTTAAATATGGGTTTGCGAGCGAATTTAGCCAGTATAGACTTTTAATCTACTTAATTCCGGTTCAAACACAGCTCTAGCAGATCCAGTGGCCTGTATTATCTAAAGCACTGCCTCAAATCTATTTTTCACCATATTCATAGACACTTGATTTACATAGCAGCCATTTAACTGATAGAATTACAGTGATCAAATTAATTTAACCTGTGTAAGCAGCCAAGTTGGATCATTTAAACCAAAATCAACATTGAGGTCTAAATTATATTATTGGCTCGCTACCGGAAGGCAACACACACTTTCCTCATATTTTAAATGAGGAAAACAGCCTCCTGCAAGACCCTCAGCCCCTCCTCTGCCTCCCCGCACCAGCTTTGAATTCTGTTTCAAGATCATGCTTGCTAAATCCGGCCATTGTTGGAGAGGAGCCATGTTTATCAGCCACAGAGGAACTTCGGGAGCTCTTGGCTTCTAGCAGCTGTAGGAGCAGCTGCCTCTCAATGCTCAGGTTCAGCTCACGGTGAAAACACAATAATCATATTTTGGAGTTCAGAGAATCAGCATCCCTGCTGAGTGACTAGAGGCTCCATACGTAGAAACATAACTACCCCTCAACCACGGCCAGTTTTCTTGTAAGTGCCAGCTGTTGATCACCGGAGCGAAGAGAAGAGCTTCACAAAAGTCCATCTCAATCGCAGAAAATAATGGCAAAAGACCAGTTTCCGTACAAGTATTTTGTAGCATCACACACATGCATGCCTATCTCATGGTAAGTGATACAAATGTTTTCCTCATCCATAAGAACTTTTTAGAGCTAACGATTTTCATAATTTGCTGCACATAAAAATGCCTATTTTTGGTTCTAGATTCAGAGACTTCCATTCAAAAGGTGCTAGGTGGAGTTTCAGAATATGAATTTTTAACAAGCTCCCTGGTGAGTCTGGCTTGAGTCGTCTGCAGGACACTTGGAGAAACACTGTTTAGTCTCTGTCGGTTTTGGAATAGTGGTAGTATTATCTATTTATGCAAATATAATTATAAGGAAAAAAAATAAAAACAAAGATTTACTGTCCCTGTTTTCCCTTTCCCCTGCAAACATGAAATCCATTTGTTCTAGGCACCTGGAGGAATACAAATGCAAATTGTAATGTGTGCAGCCTAGAAGTTATTGTTGGGTGACCAACTACCCCGTAGTGCCTGAGACCGAGGCTTCCCAGAACGGAGGGTGGAATCCAGCCCAGAAAGGAGGAAAGCCCCGGGGAAGACTTCCTACACAAGCACAACAATGGATTCAAAGGAAGCATAAACAAGTTGCTGCCGAGCCTTGAAGGAGGAAACAACCAATTCTAAGAGGATCCAAGGAAGCTTTACAAAAGAATTTGCATTTGAGTAGGAACTCGGCTAGGAGGGAAAGACCCACGCAGAGACAACACCTTTGCAAAGTCACAGAGGTAAGACGGTATCTGAAAACATTGAGGAAATACTAATTAAGAAGATTATGGGCGTGAGGATTGGGAACTCAGGAGAAACAAGGCTGGAAATTAGACCATGAGAAAGTTTGTGATAGTGCTTTGGAAATAGTAATTCATACGTGCTCTGTTGTGATCTGTTCGGAGCATTAGCATTTAAACAGGCAAGGTATTAGGAGCTGTTGCAAGAGACGGGGAAAGTGAAGAGGGCCTATGTTGAGAACTAAGTCCCTGTTGGGAGGAACAGAAAAGATGCAGTTGTTCAAGGATATTTTAAAGAGACAGTGGGACTGAATATCGAATTCCCTGTGGCAACCGAAGGAAGAGAAAATAAGAACGTTTTCCAGGTTTCCACAAGACCTGTGTTTGTGATGATGTGATTAAAAGAATTTGGGAACACCAGAGGAAGAACATTTCTTTTTGGTGAGGAAGCTAAGATAAACTCAGTTGTTTTGAGTGTTTGTGTTTAGGGGCCTCACCACCCTAAAACCTAAAACCTTGTACCCTCCAACAACTTTTTTTTTAAATCTCTCAGGAGTCAATGTCAGTTGGGCTCAGCTGAGCAGTGCTGGTTGAAAAGGCAGCAGGGACTGAAGTTAAAGGCTTCACTCAGTAAGGTGGTCTCAAGGTAGTTGGACTTCTTAACTGGTGCCTGGCTTCCAAGAGGCCACAGCTGATGCTGCCTGCCCTCAGAAAGGCTAAATCTAGACTTGGCATTGCATGAGCCGCATAACTACTTCATACCCTGTCAGAGTGGCCACAGGGCAGCCCGGGTTGGGGGCCAGGGGGACAGGTGCTACATCCCAGTGGGTGCAGTCATCGCTACCTGCCACAGTGCTCGTGGAGATGGGCTGGGGGACCACGGTGAAGCCTAGTCTGGCTCTCCGGAGAGAAATCGGAATCGGAAACGTGAGCGCAGGAAATTCGTGGGGGAAAGTTAGCAGTCAAAAATCTTAAAAATGGGTGATTAGATCAGGGAGTTGAGACTAGAACAGGACTGCATTTACGAGAGAGCTCGAACTCTTTTTTTTTTTTTTTAAAGATTTTAATTATTTATTTGACAGAGAGAGAAAGAGAGAGAGCACACGAGAGGGGGGAGGGTCAGAGGGAGAAGCAGACTCCCTGCCGAGCAGGGAGCCCGATGCGGGACTCGATCCCGGGACTCCAGGATCATGACCTGAGCTGAAGGCAGTCGCTTACCCAACTGTGCCACCCAGGCGCCCCGAGAGCTCGAACTCTTAACAGCCAGTCCGAAGACAGATGCTACTAGCAACTGCGCAGGACAAGGCAGGAGAGGCGAGGGCACAGGTTTGGAGCCTGCAGGGCTGGCGGTGAAGAAGGCGCTAGGAGTGGGAGTGGGCGACGGCGCCCCCTGCCGGATGGTGGCTGGCGGCTGGGGGAGGCAAGTCGGGGCTGGATTCAGTCTGGTTTGCCAGTTTTCCAGGGCTTGGGGAGGGGTCAGTAGCAGGGAAAGAAGACAGGAACACAGGGAGGACTGGAGGGGTGGCCTATGGAGGGCACCTTTGGCTTCTGGAAGGAGGGTGAGACAGGAAGACTCAAGTAGAGGATGGGGTAGTATAGTGGGGTATTTGGGGAGGGGAGAGGCTCAAGGAAGTCTCTGCGTTCTCTGTGAAGGTGGAATGAAACCACTCCCGGCCAGAATCAGGAATTCTTCCTCCTCAGAACATCTTTATAGGACATTTCTTCTAATGTTAGTTATGAGTGCACAAAACTGGAGAGAGTTCAAAAGAACTGGAGATGAGAAAACAAGGGGTTGCGAAAGCCAAGTTTTGTTTATCTGTTTGCTTTACCACTTTTCCTCATTGTTTTAATTATGGGTTTTATCAAGTGAATTTAAAAGGAGATGTCATAAAGGTAAACAGTTTAAAGCAGGAGGATACAGTCACATGCTCACTAACTTTTGGAAAAATACTGGGAAAATACGGGAGTACTATATTAAATGACAGTTAAATCTTTTCTTTATCTTGTGGTGTATAGATGGAAATAGGCTCTTTTTCCATCGTTTTTTTTTGTGTAGATTTCTGCTTTACGAAAACTGGTTAATTGTATGACAGTTTGAACGTTATATATATGTATATATACCAAATTCCTTTCAGCCAATACTTTTCCTGCATAGAGACAGAAATTCTTTGACAGAAAAATACTACGAATTAAGAATTGAGTAATTCAGCCTAAATAATGTAATCAACTAAGTCTAAGACTATCGTGAAGAGAAAAGGCCAGATAAACCAGACTTTTGTAACACATGTACCATGGATAAGCATGCCTCCTTGTATCGAGTGAAAACAGACAAAAGTCTACTATAGCACTTGGCCTGTAAAAGCAAGATTTTAATTTTTGTGTCTTCATCATGTCTTGCCTTTACTAGAGTAAGAAAAAAAAAGATGCATGATCAGTGGAATTTACAAATATTTTGTTTGCTCACAAATAAAAATATGCACTCTTTGAAGAGAGGAAGTATGTCTCCCATTTTTGTGTCTTGTGCCTGGCACAGAAGCTCTCAAAAGGATGGAGAGTGAATAAATGAAGCATGAGTATTGAAATCAGCTTTATTTGGATATAACCTGAAAAATTATAAAGCGAAAGTATAAACCAGGCTGTAGGTATTACAGCGAATCTACTCTATACATATCCATCCCAGAGACTGTATTTTATACAATAATTGTGCAAGCACAGAAACTTACACATAGATAGGATGGGTGGCTAGGTAACCCCAGCTTCTTAACTAGAAGCTGAAAAGTATTATTAAACGTATCGAAAATATTTTCCAGTATTCACTGGTAGAAAAAAATAGAAATTAAAGATTTTGATATATTTCATATTAATCTTTGCTATAAGCAGATGGCTTTGGATGCATATAGGCTTTCATGAAGTCAGCTTCCCTTCTTCCGTCTTGCTTTAGAGAAAGCAACAAGCAAGGCTTGGTGTGGTGGAAAAGAAGCAGTGATTTCTGTTTGAAAACCGTTAGAAGATATTGAGAGTTTTACCATTTAGCTCCAATCACAACACCAAGAAAAATATATTAAAATAGATATTTTTAGAGTATATTATTTCATCTAAAAGTAAATAATTTAGAAATAGGACATTTCATTCCATGCTTAGAACCCTCCACTGGAATAGGTAATCCATTTGATTTTATTCAACGAAACAGATTTATGGTATCTAGTTTGGAATATTCTATATAGGCTAATAATTTGACTTTCATGATTTGGAGTTCTCACGAATAAGGTCCTAAACTGTCTGCTGAAGCTACTCTGTAATTTTGCATATAGCGTCTGGCTTCTTTTTTCGTTTCTGCATGAAGGAGAGGGGGACAATGTCTCCAGAAACACTGACTCTTTGTCAAACAATGGCTACAAAAATTCTAACCATTAGGCGCATATATAAATGTATTTCTGTGTGCTATATATGAATATGTGGTTATACATGCATATAGATATCTGTGTAATGTACATTCTAGCTATGGTTTTGTTCTTTAACTTGAAAAGCAAAAGCGATGAGAAAGAGGAAAGTGAAACAAAGCCACACACATTGAGCCTTAGGGTGGCTAAGAGACTAAGCTATTTGTTTATCAGATTGGCAGAAACTGCCATGACCAAGGGATGCTGGGATACTTGCTCACCTACATTTAAAGGCAATGCAAACAAATTTCCAGGGACCCTTAGTCAAGCTGCCTACAAATCATATCCATTAGCACGTGATGCATGAGTAGGAAACCTAGGTTGACACACATTATTTTAAAAGTGCATATATATATATATATATATATATATATATGTATGTATGTATTTGAAATCCTCCTAATGAAATGACCAGGATTTTGTATTTAATGGCTAAAGTGACACTGAGTGTTAGCAATGTAATTTTCTATTACCAACAGTAGTATCAATAATTCTTCAATGATAAAGTGTAAAGGGAAAAACTTAAAGAATGATAAATTAAATGTTTTTCTGCTCCCTTCACCCTGTAATATTTCGTCAAGTGTTTGAACAAAATACAGAACAGTCATGGGGTTGTGCAGGGTACTGCTCATTCCAAGGAGCCTTTATCCCACATCAAGGTTAAAACTTCAATGAGTTTCCATTGGCTGAGTGATTGCATAAATTAATGTCATTCAGAACAGCTTTAACTTGCACAGCTGACTTTGGAAATGTGTGACTAAGCTCCTAAATTGGCATCGAAGGCACATTTACGGGAGTTGCCTTATCTCTGCACCACTTACTGCCTTTCATCCCCCCCTCACTTCCTCCCATTATCATCATCACTTTCATCACAGGCAGCTGAAGTTTCTCCTTCAAAATCAAAAGCCCTTGGAGAACAATCCTGCCTTAAAGCTATGGGCCGCCGAAAATGTGTTGTCTCTTTCATTTACATTTTGATTAAGTGAAAGTCTCTTAATTGGGGCCATTATCAATACATAAATCTGTAGAGAAAATGAACATGCATTTATAATGCAACCAACATTACATGATTTACTGTTCTTATAGTGTGTAAATACAGAAGGGGAGAAAAAAAAAAAAGTCTAGCTCTGAGGTCCCCTGGACATGAGGCCCTGTCACCGACTCACAGGGCAACTCACACCCTCTGTGAAGGCGAGCCTCAAGCTCCCCGTGTCTCATCCCATCATTATTTCAACTGAACTAGGTCTCCAATTTCAAAACCATCACACACAAATCTGTCTACTCTACTCGACCAATCTTCCTGCGGGGAGGTTTGTGAGTGGTAAAATGAAAGGCTCAAAATGGGTTTCCATACCTGATTGTGGACTTTGTTTGGGGATTTTGGCTACCGCTTGAGGGCTGGAGGTGGAGTACATTTGCTGGTTGGCAGAGCTGTGGATGCTGCTGGGAATGGCCGCGGAGACATTCTTGCGAGGCTTCATATCTTGCAGCCACATGGGCGAGGCTTCGAAGGCCTGCATCCTCCTGGCATGGCTGTTGGCGTTGACTTTCAGGTAGGCCTGGGCTTTGTGTTCCTGTAGCTCTCCGTAGTTGGCATCGGTCACCCTGCATTCGTATAAGCCTTCATCCTTTTTCCTCACTTTGGAAATCTGAAGCTTGTGAGAGATGTCATTGCCTTGGACTTTCACTGTCTGAAAAATTGCAGGTAAAAAAAATAAAGTGCTACATCAAACGGTTTTGTTCCCACACTTGCTCCTGAGCTTGCTAATGCTGGAAAATTAAAGGGTCTTAATGGCCTCATAGCCACAGTCAAAGAACTATTTATTTTCTCAACAGTCAAATATGCAGGTCATATTTATCTCATTGCACTAACAACTGGCTTCACAAAATCATGGAATAATTAGTTCAGTCCAGCCAGCGCCAGATTCTATTAGCCATGTGGTCCCCATTTCCCAGGTTCCAGGAGCGGTCCTGCCATTTTTCCAACCACGAGATTGACCTCTGCCTGGATAGCTCAGTCAAATGAAGCACCAACAGAAATATGGTAAATGATTTAGTTTTACAGCCTCTTTTCTTCACTGCAGGCTACAACTCTGAGAGATCACAAAATTGTTTTGTTGCTCACAACAGAGTTTGAGACTGTGTTTTTATCCCCGCACTGGGATGCCTTACTAAAGGTAACTGACAAAAATAGGTGTGAATATTTAACAGTCTACTCAAATGTTTGGTGCAGTCTTACCAATAGTCTTGGGGTGGTATGGCTCAGGGTACAGATTAAGGTCACCTGGAGTCTTATGGTCAGCGTGCATAACCCCTGCCATGGTAGGGTCTTTATGCTACTGGACCTGGAGATGCCATCGATCAGACACTGGTTTGATTTTCAAAATTAAAACTGGCTCTCTTATTTCTTCTAATAATGTTTATGCCAGATTAATAGCAAAATTATATGTAAATATTAAAAGATTATAAGTTTGTATTACGTGTAACATACATGAACACATGTATATCCATAAACATCTTTATCAGAACAGTTAGATTTTACATACATCATATATTATCCATGATAGGATGATGGATTTCATAAGACACTCAGGATTTAAGGATTTGCATGATTTTGGAAGACAGAGAAATGAAGTAAAGAAGGCATACACTTTCAAATGGCCATAAGTAATTAAGAAAACTAGGGAAATGTTCATTGTTTTTTACATACAGAGTTATATATACGAATAGTTATCAGTATTTGAACCATAACCATAGTATGTATTTATTTGTATGCAAAATTACATATTAAGATACTCATACTATGAAAATAATGGGGATTAATAGTTTCAAATATAGTCTCAGTTGAGTCTCCTAATAAAGTTTGAGATAGTTGGAGTACTTATATGATTATTATTTTAGAGAAGAGTAAACTGAGGTTTGGGGGTTTGGGTCCTTGATTCTCAGCATTGACTGTACATTAGAGTCATCTAGGGAGAGTTGTTAGTAAATGGTCTCATTTGGGGGCACCTGGGTGGCTCAGTCAGTTAAGCTCCAACTCTTGATTTCAGCTCAGGTCATGATCTCAGGGTCGTGAGATCGAGTTCCACACGGGGCTCTGCACTGGCCCAGTGGAGCCTGCTTAAGATTCTCTCTCTCCCTCTGCCCCTCCCTCCCCTCTCTCTCCCCCTCTCTAAACTAATGATAATAATAATAAAGAAAATGGCCTCATTTGGATTAATGTGGAAACATTAAGCTTGCATCTCAAGGAGGCACAGCTCCTATCAGTGTTTGATAAAAGCGTTCCTGAGAATTCTAAGTTAACAACTGCTGGCTTAAGACAAATGACCAAGGTCACCCGGTTAAACTGGGAATAAACTTCTTTCTATCTCAGTCTGTAACCAGAACTTTTGCTGATTCACTAGATACTATGAACTTTTAGCATAGATAATACTGTTAGTAGTTATGTGCATGATCATGTATCTTAACTGTATGGCTCCCTAGTTCAGGATGTGTGAGGCTATTCCTTACTGGTCTTTGGAGGATATAATCATGGCCAAAGGGTGAAGCATGAATAGTCAGTGAACAATCTAGCCACTACATATATGTATAAAATTGAAATATTTAAGGTAAGTATTGTCAACAATTGATTTTACCAGTAAAACCTTTCTAGCACTGTATGAAAACAATAATTTCTGTAATATCATAATAATTGAATTGAAATATTCTAAAAAGTCAGTGAGTTTATGAATATAAATTGTAGTTTTTGGTTTATGTCTCATTTTTGTTTGATATTTGCTTCCATGTTGAGATTATACACTTACATCACAGAATTTGGTTCTATTAGTACAATATATTTTTATACTTTTAGTTGTGATATAACTCCAATCTTATATGACTTTTTTACTATTGTAACAGCTTCAGAATAAATTTTCTTTTTTAATATAGGTCACTGGATTTTTAGATTCTTAAAATGAATAAATAGTAAGAATATATACTTATATATATTCCTATGTATAGTATATATGCTAAGCAGACCTTGTACTTTCTGACTTTATATAACTATTTCATTTCCAGTAATGAAAACTTGCTTACTATTTATGAATGAGTTAAGCAGTTCTATCAACATAAAGTGATTCTAGGAGGCTTCATTGGTGGTGTAGTAAAAAAAAAAATACAATTTTCTTTTTATTTCTAATTTCACATAGCATTATTAAAAGTCAAAATACAGGGCGCCTGGGTGGCTCAGTTGGTTAAGCGACTGCCTTCAGCTCAGGTCATGATCCTGGAGTCTCGGGATGGAGTCCCGCATCGGGCTCCCTGCTCGGCGGGGAG